ATTACATTGGCGGAGGTGCATGTGAAGTGATTGGTGATCTTAATAGATCGTTTGGGTCCCGATATTTTCTCAGTGTTATGAATGAAAGGACACGTTTTGCATCGTGCACGAGTGCATTTAAAAGTGCCTGGTTGGTCATTAGTCTGAAAAGAACTTCTGACCAAAAAATTGCCTATGTTATTGTCGCGTTTGAATGAAATGAGCGGAGGCTGCGAAAAGATAGCGCTTGTCTCTGGATCGTTTTGAAGTCATTTAAATTTTTTAAGAATGATGGATTTAACTGAGTGGTTGTGAGGGTGAAACGTGAGAGTGAATGGAATGCGGTCGGAATGTTCCTTTTGCTACGTTTGTAGTGCTGAATGTCGATTAATAAGTTGGGCGCGGTGGTAACCCGCTTGAACGACAGAATCAGGGCAACCACGTTTATCGAAAATACTGGCATGTAACTTTGTTTTTTATCGCTTTTATCGAAAAACTGGCATGTAACATGGTGTAACTTTGTTTTTTATCATCATTTGACGCTCGTGACAACTGCTTGTGTCTTCCATTATTATTGCCATGAAGTGGACTGGTGCCCAGTGACGAGAAAGCATGGAGGGAGTTACTTATTTTTTAAGACGAGACTGATTTTGGAGTGAAAAGATTGAAAAGTCACGATTCAGACACAGCTATATGCCAAGCTCTGAAGGCGAAATGATGTTTGTGGGTCATCCTACTTTATAAGTCGTTGTGTGTATTTTATTGCGCATCTGCGTTTTCTATCTCAATTGTTATGAATGGAAAGTGGATTTCTTGGGATATCTGAGCAGCTTTTGAATACTGAATTCATATTTTCGCATCACGGCTCAAGAAACATAAGCCATTGAAATCTGGTACGTCCATGTATAACTTTGCAGTGGACATTTTCACGACAGTAGAGGTTCGTAATGCCATCTTACAGGCAAGGAGAGACCTACATATATCTTGTTCTGAATGCTTCGGTATAAAACGATCAACTAACTTAGGGACTTTTTTCCCCCATTTCTTCGGCTTGTAATCAGATCGAACACTTTCCGGGATAGAAAAAATCTACTCAATAAGAATGATGTTTTTTGTGACCCTTTGAATTTTAGTTCAATTTCAATTCTCTGATAGATCTTATTTATAATAACTTAATATGACCAGGGGAAGAAAATACAGTGGAAAAAAAAAACAGCAAAGTTTTGAAATTACCTGGAAGGCACAACCGATGTCGTGATAGAGACAATGTTCACAAGTCTTCGGGCATTCTTCCATGATGTGATTGGAAAGCTGCAAGTTTAAAAAGCAAAAAACACTATTTACATTGGTTTTTTATAAAAAGTATAGCAGTTTATCGTTGTTTATTGATCTTTTTCTGTGGGTGGCAAAACTGAGCGTAGCCCAGGGCTAAATAAACAACATATTTTTGTATTAGATATGATGAATAGCTCGTAGAATAGCTCGTAGAATAGCTCGTAGAATTCCTATTAGACAGTCCCTTTCGCCATAGGCTGAAAGTTTCCAATTTTTACAACATAGCATTGAATTTTTAGACAAGATGTCCTCACTTTGAAAAAATAATCGCTTCAGCAACTTTTCGACCTTTTTGTTTATTTGACGTTGCGTAATCTACATTACCGCGCAGGTCTTTGGCAAAGAAAACACCTTTGCTAAGTCCATTAGCTGCAAATCTTATAGTTTCAAATATTTTTTAAAAGCCGGAAAAGGTGTTTTCCGAAGAAGCAGCTTATCTTTTCATAAAACGCATCATGTCGGCGCCTTTCTTTAATCTATTAGGTCGAAGTTCGCTTAATTATAGACTTATGACTTACTCGCAACCACTCCATATAAATGCAAATTGGATGTCCAGTGGTTAGGAAAATCGCATCCAATTGCAATGCTCACTTCTACCTTAAAGTAGTATCCCTTTAATAAGTGCACGTGGTCAATGCAATTCACAAAGAATCACTATACTTTCAGTTTGCTTGAATTTCTTGGAGGCAGTTTTCGAAGCCTTAGTATTTGGTTATAACACGTACTCCTTAAATCGCACCCTTGGTCTCCCTTTGCCAACATTATCGATGAAATATCCTTAGGAAATTACTTTGCATTTGATGGAAATTCTTCCCAGAAGCAGGTTGCGCACTGATAAACTGTAAAGGGCGACGGCATTAAGAACTTCGCCGAGTTCAAATTCTCTCAAATATATGATTTAGACTTTGGGGCCGAATTGACAGCCACTAAGGTTCCTTGAATTTCATTTAGCTATTTCAACAAATGGCTACACAGAACTGTGGAGAAACTGAAGAAAACTAGAGTTGAGGCTATTGCGAAAATTGAAGTCGTTTTCCACTTACAAGATGAAAATTTGAAATGAAAAAAGGTAGCAACATTTGAAAATATCCTTAAATGCTCTATATGAAGTGAGTGCATTGTTTTCGAGTTGATAGGTAAACGATACGCAGTGGCCGAAGGTTTAACATTTACTGGGGTCAAGATAAATTGTGAACAGACGGATAAACTAGCATTTCATAACACAGACACCCCGCCGAGTCTGACCCAAATATTTTCATGAACTTATTCTAATTCCCACAATGTAGTTGCGTTTCTTGTAATAGATTATTTCTATCTAGTTGCTTATCGATTAATCGATACTTCTTGGGGTAACAACATCGTTGAAATAAATTAAGATGGTTCTACATAGATAACCTTTCACATCAACAGATGGTTCTTATCGCAAAATCACTTTATTTTCCGGCAGCATATATCTAGCACTCTTTGATCCACTGATGATACACAATGAAAATAACCGATAAGAACTTGTGCTTTCTTCCGAAAGATATCAAGAACTTCGAAAATCCAGCAAAATCTGTGATTATTTGAGCTTTAAACACTAAAATTAACCAAGTTCTCAATATAATGCAGTCAGCCGGATCACGCAAAGCATAATAAAATTTTCGCTAACCTGAGAAATGAATATTACAGAGATTGTGTGGAATTGAAATCGATTACTAATTTTCATAAAAATAGTTATACAGAAATTCATTATGTTCAATTTTTAGTTTATATATCAAGGCATCTTCATCTAGGTTCAGGAACCGAGCTCGTCAGTTTAGCCGGGCACGATCTCGCTTGAGTTGCTTCCCTTTCAGATGGGAATTTTCATCGCGGTTACCGAGCTGACCACAGGAGAAGTTTTAGCTTTGTCAGAGAGAAAAGGGCAAGAGCTGCTTTTATACTAGAATTCTCCGGTTAACTAGTTCTGGTTCGTTATAAACCGTGATCAAGCTAACCGAGCCTTCTTCCGGTAAGCACGCCGAGACGCTACTTGCATTGTGAAGCGTAGTGAAGCGAAAATCACGGGATATCGGAAACTAGGCTGGCCAGATCGTTTAGGGGGACCGATTTTGAAGCGGCCCTAACTTTTAAGTTTTAAAATACAGCTTACCTTTTCTCTAGGTACCTCCATCTTTCCACACATGTTAGGACATTTGACTGGAAACAAAGGGCACACGTCAAGGTGATTCTGTGGGGGAGAAAGCATCGAATATTTCAGAGAGAACCGCTTAGAGCTGCCCATTTTGACGATAGAGATGAAAATCTATGCGCAAACTCGCAATAAATTTTCTGGCGACGTTTTACATTAGATCCGATGGACCTGTGAAATGCCAGCATAGGAGTTCCGATGAATTACATAAAAAAATGTGAAAGGAAATATGACATGATGCGGTCAAGAACGATATGAATATTTTACCATCGCATCTTTCAACAAGACCATCAACTTGTAGGTATAATGACAAACGTATTGCACACGTTAACGTGCGATAGAAAAGAACTGCTTCCATCAAATTATCGGACCACTTATCTATTATCTCGTGCGATGAATAATTACAAAATTTAAGAAGATAGTTCTTGAATGCTAAATCGCTTTAAAACGAAAAAAATTTTTTCCGATTTTATTTTCCTGATTTCTTAACAAAACGCCGAGATTTATCAACCGTTCCGTGTGCTCATTGTAGAGTTGTCTACATGACGAGTGTCTGTTGAGTTGAAGCAAATCACACTTCAAAATTCAATCGGTACTACGCGAGACAGAAACGTTATGTTGATCATAGTTTGTGATTATTTCAACGCCACAGGCGAATATTAATCAAAGCATTAACGAAGCCCCCTCGGCCATGAGCAATGGAATTTGATCAAACTTTATTATTGCGGTTTAAAGGAGCGCTGCTTGCATGTTACCTCTGTTGTTTCTTTTAAAACACGATTTACATCCTTTTCACCAGTTGGGTACATCGTTACATCAACCGCCACTCTAGTTCAAGCCTTTTTCATTCTGCTGTGTTTAAGTTCTTGTACGCTTTTAGAACATCAACGAAATCGAATAGAATTTCGTTTGTGACAAGAATTTCGATGTTCGCCGCTTGCAATTTGTCGACTCTACAAAACTGACTTCACCATTCGAAAATATTACCACAGAGGAACGTGAAACTTACCTTAAGATTTAAGTGGCTTTCGTTTCATAATTTTCAAAGAAGAATTAAAACTGATTTAAAGCGGCTTTTCAAGACAAAGTCTGCAAGGCAGAATGTCATTAATCATAAGATTTTTGCGCCGGGGTAAAATATAGAACTGAATAAATTAAAGTATAGGCGCGCATAAAAATATTGCTCCATTGTATTTTGAACAAGGTATGAGAGAGGTTTCCGAGAGCGTTTGTTTGTGCAACAATAGTTTCCCGCCCATTTCTCACAAAAATGTAATTGTGTCGATTGGCCATGCGAAGAATGTTTAAAAAGAAAGAAAAAAGCCATCAAATTTGAGATGTCAGAGCGGCTTCTAGTAAATATGCACTGCAGAATGTGAATTGTCTATATTGTATTTAGCTCATGCCGGGTAATGTGATGAGATATGCAAAAAAAAAACATTAATTCATCATTTTCTGGTGTCGTAATTTTTTCGATGACGCGTGATTGCACTGGAATAAATTATTTGCATTGTCAACTTCAAAGACACGATACTTCTAGAACGATTAAATTGATGGCAGACTATTTTAAACCAAAAATTGCTTCGCTATACCTAGTCGATTATTAATGTGACCTTTTAAACTCCTATCTCGAACAATTGAATATTTGTGAAATGCAAAGTTTTAGATGTTTTGGTTCAACGAATTTAAAATGCTCAGCGCACTATCATATTGTAAATACAGTAATAGCCTTCAACCAACTGAGCCAACGATACGCATTTCTCGTCAGCAGTTATCTTCACAAAAGGACTCAGTGTTAGGCGCATAGATGTTATGTATTTATTCAAAAATAACTTTGTGGTTTCTTCTTTTATTTTAAGGAAAGCTTAAAAATAATTCTCAGATGTTGACTTTCATGGGGTTTGATGTGATGAAGAGTTCTTTGGAAGCTCACATTTAGTCAAGATTTCCAACCTCGTTCCCTACTAAGGAAAAAGGCCCTGGGAACGAGGTTGCAAGATTTCCTAACATTTTTAAACATCAGCATTTACACGAGGTGGAGTAAATAGTTGAAGCTTTGAGCTTATCATCAACTGTCTTCAGAGCCTGAATTATTTACTGGTAAATTTTCACGAAATGCTGGTTTGAAGGCCTAGTAGAGGGAAAGGAAAGTTAGCCATGAAGTTATAGTGGAGTGGTGGTTAGGCCGATATCTTCAGACCTTGATATTATCCGGCACAAAAAATCACTCATTTCGCTAGCCGTTTTAAGACGGAAAATTGAGTAATTGATGGGATATTGACCTCTCGAAGTCATGTCTAGCTTATTCAGACGGCGTTTCAATTAGATTAATAACAATCTTGGGCATACCAAGCAATAGGTACTCGTGTTACCAAGTTCACATGCACACCCTGTTTAAAGCTTCCAGCCCCTTCAATGAATGTCAAAACTACAGGGAAACTTCTACCAAGAAGATACCCTCGGGATTAGAGAAAACGTTCCTGAAAAGAGGTCACATCAATCGAGCAAATTGTAGGAAGGGTTCTAGAGATTTCTTTTCATTCGAGACTTAAGCTTGCGTGCCTTGAATGAGATTGACACCTGGATAAAAGTGTACAAAAAGGGTATATTGACCCCTGGCAGTCATGTCTTGCATATTTTGACAGTGTTTCCAATTAGATTAAAAGAATGCACACTACAAAGTTAAAGGCTACCAGTCGCTTCTAGGAATGTTTGACCTGCAGCGGAACCTATACCTAGTGGACACAGTCAAGATTAGAGAAAATGTTCCTTGAAAAGAGGGACTCAAGTTCGTGTCCCTTGAATGAGAGTGACATCTAGAAAAGAGTGTCCCAGAAGAGCAGCTCTGCTGCATCTAAAAAATCTCACCTTCAAAGCCAGTGTTACTGGTGCCATGTCGTCTTTGCAAAATTTGCAAGAAATATCTGCACTTAATTGGCTTTCCACACTGTTGTCTTCTGGTGCATCCTGAAGATATACAAAACAAAAAAATTTTGGTGATGAGTAATCCCTCAGCAAAAAGATTGTTGCGTCGCTGTCTGCAGCGGTAATGAGATTCATCACAACTGTTAACATACAGTGGATTCTGGTATATTCTGACAATCTCATTTGACCGGGATTGATGATCTTATTCACGTCACCCCTGTCTATTGTCTAAAACAATAAGAGGGTTTGTAAGATTAACGTTAAACCTCTTATAACAAGATTATAAAAATACACTCAACATTCCATATAGGAGCCAAGAAAGTGCTTTTTCCTGACTAGGAATTTGGATTCAGTACTAAAGAGCTTTTCACGGTTATGAGTGTTTAGGGGGTCTGGAGAGCGAGCACTTTATCATCATTGAGCCTCTCTATGGGTATTTCCGAAGAAATCGAAGACTCAAAGATCACCGCGGAAAAAACGAAGATCTCAAGATTAAAGCGAAGATCTGAAAATTGATCAAAATTGGCGTGATCAAATTGAACACTCAGATATAACACTGTCAAAACTCGTAAACACTACAGAAAATTTCTGTTATTTCTGAATGTTGGCATTTGACCACATTTCACTGCAATTTTGACGACGGTGTCAACGGTCATAGAACACTGAACAAACAGAACGTCGCCAAAGAATCCAACAATTCAATAACTGTTTAAATTGCTTTTCGTGAATTTAAATAGGGAGTCATGCAATTTGCTATTGAAGTGAAATTTTTATTAACTGTGAATTGTGAATAACACTGAATAAACGTTTAAACAATTTCAATCCGAAAAACGAAGATCTTCCCAAAAAAACCCCCAAAATTTGCAAAAAATCGCGAAGAAAACGAAGACCGTGGGTACCTATAGAGAGGCTCATCATTATTCTCGAGCGCGGGAATATAAGAATTAGCCGGAACATGAATGGTCCTTTCAAGGTTCTTTCTCTCCCTTGGACCTCCTCTTTCTCCTTTCCTTGCTGCTTTTTATTTTCATGGTATCTGTCAGATTAAGAACGCGGAGGATAACAAACAACAAGATCAGTGATCACATTACAGTTCAAACTTGTGATGCATGTCACCGAATTGATAAATTGCGGGAGACCACACACAAATAAGTATCGTTCATCCACTCATTCTGTAATCTTTGAGATTATAAAGAGAGACAATCAATTCACTTCGCCCTACCCCAACCTTCACAGCAATGTTAGCAGAGCCTAAACGCGCCATTTTGTCATCAATAAAATGAGAGAAGACACGATTGCAATGTACTCAGTTTTCTCGAAATACTACTAAAACGTACCATTTTTGGTCCTGCCTTTTCTCTAACCCCCTATCCCTCCCCAAAAGTTATCCCCGTCCAAGGAATTCTAAGGGAACTGGATGCAATGTGGCAAAAATTCTCACCGCGTAAAGCTATTTATGGCATGGTGACAACTTCTTTTACTTCAGGTTTACGTTACCCAGTAACAAAGTTAATAAACCAAACTACTCTCTCAGGTGATTTGTCAGTTGCATCCTTAGAAAAATTTGGCTTCTAAGGCTAACTAATTTGTAGTTTCTTGCTTTTATTTCGAGTTAATCAGCCAACAAAAGCTGTGAAGTGCTGCTTATGGCTGATACCATAAAGCTCTTAGCAAACAAGCAACTCAAGGTCACACTCAGAAGTGAAATGACAGCTAAAGATGATAAGGGATTTCGTAAGAGTTTCTCGGCCTCCCAACTCAAGAAAGTGAAGCGAAAAGCAGTCTAAATAACGGAAAGTAAATGATTTTTGGCCAGAATTTTAGAAATATAAAATATTGCATTTTTTTGGTCTACCGCAATAATGAAATTAACAGAAAAAGGTAGGGACAATTTGAATTTACGAAATATCTATTAGTTGCCACTAGCTAGCGCTTGATAATCATTCACAGAGTTAAAACATTCCGGAAGGAGAGAGGTATCTTACGATACCGTCAGCCTGCTTAAACGGAAACGAAGGGAGAGCTGGAAAATCTTGGAAATTTAGACGTTTTTCGTTGTAAATTTAACTGATATACTTGAGTAGTGTCTGTAGAGACCTCACTAAGAACTAGTGGAGGAAAAGGTGATTACAGATGACACACTTCTACCCACAGTGAGAGAAACGTTTTGTGTGAAAGCCCCGGAGAGAGGCTTCCACAATAAGCTTTACAAGTTGCGTTGACAGAAAACACTAGCCGGCGGAGGTTTCCGGAAAGAAAACCTAAAAAAACGGGAAAAAATGTGTCCTGTCTGAAATTGGAGTGCACTTTTTGCGAAAGGAGAAACAGCACTTATTATCGTTTGTACCGCTGCGGTGACGAGCCATCAATTTTCTTCTGTATTCAATAAGGGACCTTTAACATATTAAAAACACAAGCCCTCACAGCGGAAAGATTTAAATTCAGTTTACGAGGAGGGTTTAGAAAAACAATCTTACCTTTGATTCGTCTGGGAAGCAGTGAAAGTATTGCTTTAAACAGACCGATAAAAATTTCTGTATGGTATCGGTTTCCAGCCGCGGTGAATCGTTCGACAAAACATCGCCATTCGTCGTAGAGTCGCATTCGCCCACTGCTCGTGAAAAGAACTCGCGAACGACAACAGCTTCCAGTTGCGAGGTCATGCCTGATGTATTGAAGTCTGAGATGACCCTTTCAATGTGGCAGTTATCTGACAATTCAGTGAAATCTCAAAAACTCTACGGAAGTACACGGCGCCGTTTTTCTGTCGTGTTGAGGCGAAAAAAATACAAGAAGATATCACAACGTTGAAATGAGTAAATTACCGGAAAGACTGGATTGACCGGATAAGTGCAGTTAGAGTAAAGTTAAAGTAAAGTTTACAGTTTACAGTACCGTGCTGTTGTTATGACCTATTTGGGTTATATGTATACTGAACGATTAGGAATGCAGCATTTGTATATCCTTACTTTTGAATACGTTATAACATCTCAAATTTGCCGATAATGACATACCTGTTTACTAATGTCCGTTTTCAATGCCGCTCTTTACGCCCTAAGCGTTTCTGAGAAGTGTGATGTCCAGAGATAAGGAGAGAGAGAAATTTTTGACCACTTCAATTGCATAAGGCTTATCTGCAAGGAAAAAAAAACTCGGTTGCAAGGTTTGTTTTGGGTAAAACACAAATACACAAGATAACCACATTTTGAAATATTCACCTGTTCTGAAATCTTGTTAGCACGCTCTTACTAGCGGCCTTACCCGTGCATTAATCTCTCATCCCTTCATCACAAATTAAATTAGTAACTCCGGACACTGACTAATGAACTTGATAATTAAGGGATGTACGTAGGTCTAAAAGCAATTTTTAAAGACCGATCGTGCCATGATTATGCTGTTACGTGATTAGGCCCGAGCAATATCATTATTTTTATCTGATATGGCGTTGTATCAAAGGATATATCTCTTGCTCAGGCAGATAACTGCGCTTAAACTGTCCTAAAGCACGAAAATGTTTAATTCATTATGTTTGTGGTTGAGAGAATCAACATTAGAGGATATGAATTCCCTTTGACATACCTTTGAAATACAATCTTTTTGACAATTTTGAATAGCGAATTTGTGATAAACTATGCGAAACCATTCGCGCGTAGGTCTCAATTCAAAATAGCTTCGCGAAGCAAATTGATACCTTTGTTGCGTCTCTGTCACAATTAAAATGGTAAAAGATTTCAATTTAGATAATAAAGGGACATTAAGGTATTAAGAGCGGCAAGTGAAAAAGGAGGCTGGACAGTTTAAACAATGTCAGCGCCAAGATGGGCTTGCTAAAGGGAACCTTTTCCGTAAGGGAACCTGCCCTAAATCGGAGGTTGGACGCGAAACAGCAGCGAAATTCAAGCCTGATGCTCATCTTTCCAGGGAGAAATCAATTTTAAAAAGAAATGTTGTAAATTCAGCAACAAGGACTGTGCAAATTTTTCTCTCTAAAAGGTTTCATAGAGGTCACCGCTGTACCAGCGTCTTGCTGACATGTTAGCACGACAGCCTTTATCAGACTCTCAATCCATGGACGAACAAGCGACGCGTAGTAATTTTCGGGGACTTCCTAATCTCCCGCCTTATTTTCGCCCGCATATCCTCTTCACTTGTCTCCACTCTTGACGGAGAGCCTGGCGGTAGACTTGTTAGCAATCTGCGTTCAAATTAGTTTTTTCGGCATTAAAGAATGCATCCATGCAGGCTCACACTGTTATCAGTGATCAAGATGAACAGCACTTATCCTTCCTTCACAAACGGCAACTATGGGGGCCGGAAGGCACTGATAGAGGACAACTCTAGTTTAGTTGTGTCTGAACTTAGCAGGCTAACCTTAGCCAGTCACATGAAAAACATCCTTCTAGTCTGGCCTAAAGGGCGAAAAGTCAGGAGTATTTCCATGAGGAAAAACATTGGACTTGAAATGTAGGTTGTTTGGGCGAAATGGTTTTCGCTATGGGTGCTTGTCATCTTTGCAGCCGATGTTTGTTCTTGTCACGCAAGTCGTTCTCTCTTTCACAAACGCTCTCTGGGAATGAAGCGAAAGTCACGCGAGGCAACAACAACAAACAAAGGCAGTGTTGGAGACTGGGCAACGGAGGATAGGAGAAGAAGATCCGAATGCTAGTTTTTATAGAGCTAAGCGCGAGGAAGATTTTAATTTTCGGAACAGAACAAATGCCAGTATTTTATTGAACGTGAAATCAATACATCACCCGCATTCAGCCATTTCACTTCACAATTGAGCGAAAGATATTGTTAAATCGGACCAATGTTCGCGTTGTCACCGCCATCATTTTGCGACCGGATATGACTTAATTTCTTTTAACCGGATGTGAATCAGGCGAGTTTGTCGTACCAGTTTTCCGTCTCTGATGCGCGGGTGGCATGGCCCAGGTCACGACCTTATGGTCAATACTCTGAGCCAAAACATCAGCATCACTTGCGAATTATTATAAGAGGATTTGAGTTTTTCCAGGATTTTTTCGATAAAATTGTTATAATCCTGTTCCTATGCCCCCGTAATGCTAAAGAAAATAAACCGATGCATGAAACCGACACTAGTGACAAATATTTTCCGAAATTTATTGTATGCGATGACATCTTGAATGCACGTGGAACAAATTCGAGTAACAATGAGTCAAAATTGGTCCAGAACAAATTCCGAGATAAGGATTTCATTGAATGCACATTGCTTAAAAATGCAGTGGTTTTGCTTTGATATTAGTGTCTAGCTACTTCAAAGATAAAATAAATACTCCTACATAAAATTGAATAAGCTCATCTTTTCGTAAGTCTGTTAAGGGATGCGTGTATGACTTTGTAATCAATGAGCAATTAATATTCTGATGCATGGGTGCAATTCTCAAGAAACGAACATGCAAGCGTGCAATTCAAGGAGTCTAATCTTCAACGACGAAAGTTCTCTGCATCATGACTTAATCCATCGTAAATACCACACTTAAAGGAACCGGCCTCAGCGAAAATTACGAGAGAAAACGAACATTTCAACATTAAAGCCGGATTGCTCGATGTTCACTCGCTAAACTTCACTGGTAATGCCAAATATTTCGCACTCTTAGAGACTAAAAAAGACTCTACGGCGAAAACATAAATATGCTATATTCGGTTCGAAGTCAACTGAATTGTAAATACGAACTTTAACACTGATTCATCTCTTCCTGTTTCGCACAGCTAGTGCGCTCATTCATTACATGGAGAGGCAGAACAGTTGGTTTTGTATTATCTAATGTCAGATGTTAATTCTGCTTACCTTTGCGCGCTAACCGCTTGCAGCTTTGTTCTGAAGGACAAACAACCGCCAGATACGCCTCTTGTTGACCGGGAAAACGTATAAATAAAACGTGTTATCGCCGCAGGCGGTAAACTGAAACAAAACTCGTGTTGACGTCAAGGCTATTGTCCCGGATATCTCGGGAATGAAAAATTAGTCCCTTTCCCGTCAGCACTCCCAACAACATAAAAGCAAATTTCTATTTATCTGAGCGGCCGAGCTAATTATAATTAGTTAGGCCTTCTGCTTCCTGACTTATTCAAACGTACGAAGCACCCAGAATGCGCCGGATATCTTGGTTTCGTGCCGGACGCCTTAACAGAGGGATTCTTAAAATGATAGAGTTTCCGCGGTTGCAAAGGACATTTGTTCCATAACCACCAAACACATTTAGTGCTTTTTTTTCCATTTGCCATTATGAAATTCCTACCATGTGACAAAATAAACAGAGCAGTTGGCAAAACCTGCTTTGCCCACACCAGTGCAAAATCTCCATAGGAAAATGGAGCGGATAAAAAGACCAATGTATGTCAGATTTCCGTGATAAAGACTGGTAAAACTTGTAAAATTATGTTTTGAAGATTGTTTCTTTAGTGGTTATAGCGCAGAGGTAATAATTTATACAAACACTTGATATTTTTAAGGATCGTTTGGTAAGTAATGGAGGACGATAGACGATAAGACATTAGTAATAAGAGGATTGAAACGTCCAGCGTAGAGACTAATACTGGGCTTAAGTAAATAAAAAATGCATATTAATCCATCCTCTGGACAGCTATTGAGTTTCCATGAATTTTTATGGGGTTGCTTTCTTTCAATAATCACGAGAAAGTCAAACGACTCAAAGTTACGATTCAGTCCACTAGCCACAAAATGGTATGGACTGCTACGTTTAAATAGAGTGAGTCTCCTCACTAGTACGAAAATTAAAAAGGACCAGTGACCTATATGTTCATAGTCTGTTTAGATAAAAAAAATTAATGGCTCCCAAGATTAGAGAAATAAAAATCTTAATCTCTGAATTCCTAGTAATTTGAAATGGAGGAAAATCCGAAAAAGATTAAAAGAGTCAAATTTAGAGCTACACGGTTTCAAATAGCAACAGATACCACTGTACAAATCTTTTTTTGCTGTTGGTCTACTTTCGAAATTCATACGTAGTTTGCAATAAAGCTATTCCTTCTCGTAAATGGATTTATCGCACCCTGCTGTTTCTGCGAAGTGTTTCCCGTGTGCATATCCCATAAGTCAGTGCGAACCCCACGATGAACCGGTCGTGCGTGCGCCATACCCGCGCCTTAACTGACCGACCAAGAGAAAAGTTAATTTTCCTTCAGTTGGAGGCATAGCGAGAAATTATCATTCAAATTCCCCATAACTAAAAGATTGTGATCATGCTTTCTTATTGGCGGCCATTGTTTAGTTATTATAAACAGACTTTGGATATATAGGTCGCCGAACACAGAAATAAAAGTAGTTAAGAGAACGTACGAGCAAAAAAGCGTAAGTTACCGACATAAATATACTGGTTTGACAACACTGTGCTGTTGCATAACACTTTGCCTATTGTCTTTTGCCTTTTGCCCTTGGCCATTGCCATGGCCTATCTAAATGATGACTTACAATTTCTATGAATAAACAAATTTTCGTCGTTGTTGTTAATGACCTTCATGTCGGGTTTCACTTTTTGACAGCGATGAACAGAGTGCACGCGCAGCCATTATGACGAAATCAAGTACGTCATAAAAGAAACAATGTAGCCGAACTCGCTATGGACTAGAAAGCTTGTACGTCTAGTGATATGTCCCGAGAAAACAAAATGGGGAGAGAGAAATCGTTTGACATAGGCAAGACGGATTTTTCCCTGGACAAACCAATTGAGGTAAGTCTAACTAAAGGCTTACGGCATGCCCACTCCATGGTTTTACGTTCGGTACAACGTTCAGTTCAGTTTATCATTTCACTACAAACACAGTCTCTCTGTTGAGTTACATTGACTTGTTGCTAAACTAAACTTATGTATGACCGGGGCTTCAATGATAAATAATATTAACCTAGGACTGCAGTTTAAGGAATTTAGATCATGTAGATCGTACACACAATGTATGATTGAATCTTGTTCTTTTTCAAGGAGTATCGCTCGAAACAAAGTCAAGCCTTCAGGTAAGGTTATATTCCATGCGTGGAAATGCCCTGAACTCAGTGAGCAAGTCTGGAATGGAAATGAAGTAATTCTACGATGTTGTTACAATATAGCCCTCTATTTATCGCATATTAAAGTTTAGGGAACATCCGTTGCAATAGCACGACTTATTCGACCTTATGATTTTCTACCAATCCACAAACTACGACATTTATGAGAACTGCGAAAGACCATGATTTCCGGAACAGAAGAGTAAGGTCAGGTGCTCCGACCACCAGGTCTCCTACATCAGAATGACCGAAAGACTTAGCAACTTGCCTGTTTTTTTTTTTTTTTTTTCAGTCACTTTTATGTAGGAATGAAAAATATCTTACCCAGCAGTTGACTGGTCTCTATTTCTCACCGGCTGAGTTTTCAAGTTCATTTAATCTGTAATCTATAGTACAAGTATAATTTCCCTGCCTGTCTAGTTCAACACAGGTTTCCGACATTTTTTCAGGTCTCCTCGATAGTGTAGCAGAAGACATTAATAAATTTGGTCGGCGAGAGACCGATGGCGAAGCTGGTAGGAGAGAAAAGGCTGGGGCGCCCGTGATCCACCTGTTGATTACAAAAAAATATTATTTTAACAGTCAAAAGCATTCAAACTTATCGGTTTTCGCGTGCAATTTAATGCGGAATTCCCTCGTCAAGTAATGAATTTTCATAATTTGGATTGATTAACTGAGTTGAGAGTGTAAATTAGCCACCGTAAAGAGTTTTCAAGCTGACGTTTCCAGCGTTAGTCCTTCGTCAAATTACTTTTTATATTCTCCCGCTGACGCAACACCACAGTTTTTTAGAAACTCCCCCCCTCGTCATTCATTGACTTATAACATCGATACGACCTTTATTTCATTCTCTTGTAGCTCTGGAGAAGAAAGTAGTAGAAGATCGAAGTCAATCGACGTAGGCAGAGCTCATTTTTCTCTCGACAAACCGATTGAGGTATGTCCTCATTATTTAGGGTACTTTTTGCCATCACTGTTTTAATTTCTCATGACAAGCAAAGTGTAAATGCAGCCACTTGCTCGCAACAAAGACGCATAATGCACATAAAACAAGATTTGAGATAGTGATCTTTTCGACTCGAGTGTCTTAAGACCAAAACCAAAGTAGTAAGAGGAAAATACATTTGAGAGCCAATGAGAACTCAAAGCAAAATCAACCGAACTGCCTAAATCGAGGAAAACCGCGAGGGACTAAGTCCTAATAGGTTTTTGTTTTGCTAAAACTAAACAGTAAAAATAAAAACATCATACCACGGAAAGTGCTTGAACGATATTTACCCACTCGTTACAATGCATCAACAGCCTCTCTCGTTTGCTGCAGTTACTCGTTCGTTTTTTTGATGCGGGTAACTCGTGAATAAAAATCGTTCATATACACTTTCCATGGAATTATCCTATATCAACAAACGCAGTTAGCCGATGAACTTCATCGATTTAAAAGCCAAAATAACAATTTAAGCAGTACTTTAGTTATTCTTCCCTGGCTTATATACAACCAACTCGGTCTTCTGGTATATCTGGAGAACTTTTCGTTGCATAGATGTAATTTTCATTTTTTTAATACTTTCCCGTAGAGATTTAATTCAAAGCAAAACCAGACCCCTCGGTAAGTCAATATAATTTACAGTTTTTAAGAGCTACAAATAGCAATTTTCAAAAAATTTTAAATTTTACGTCCGTCGTATCCTTTGCAAGTTGATATCAATCGAGTTTTACCACAAATGCTGCAATCTAATTGGCTAGGCTACTAGCTAGCTATCTATTCCTTGGTAGCCAGTAAGACAGGTGTATATCATTAAAAAACACCAGTGTCTTTTAGTCAAGTTCTGGGAAAAAAGTAAGTTTACGTCAAAACAATTACAATAGTCGAGCTTATAATCCAATGGGTAATCATAGCAATAAAACAGACATGTAGCACTTGTTAAAATGTCGGCTGATTAAGAGTGCTCTTTGCCGTAATGGTGTCCTAATAAAATTTTCTTGGTTTCTTCTGTTCTGATCTTTTCTGCCAAAAGGTCCAAAGATCCAATTTTTGCATGTAAGAGTTTGTTTTCCCTAGATAACGTCATATGAGGAAACTTGCCGCAATAACAACAAAAAAATAAGAAATAAATAAAAAAAAATAAGAATTAGTAAGTATAAATATTCATTCCAGGCAGAACATTAAATAAACCCCTTTTTGCTTTTCCTTTGTAAGCAGTTCTCATCAGTTAATTAATAGGTTTTACTTTTGATATCATACATTGTAGCACTGGAATTAGAGCTTGCGAAAGCGGCAGGCTAAGAGTGAAATCTCTGGACCTAAGCACAGCACAGTTTTCTCTCGACAAACCGATTGAGGTATGCCATTATTGTAGCTAATTGAGAGTTTTTATTGAAGATTGCACAGCCTTTCCAAGTGTGTGCTGCACATTTTGATACAATTGCCGTAGAACGCATTCGCGTTTCATCTTGATCCATGAACCGGTCGCCAAGTAGGCTGAAGAACAGGCGTAGTTTCAGTTTTCCCGTTTTCAGGGGAACGGAAGCAAACGCGAGGCAAGCACGAGTCGCGCGCTTGAGGAGGAGCGCGAAAGTTAGATTTTTTTTCTCCTATCACCTCGCACGTGACTCGCACTTTGTACTCCCCTTGTGTTCGCATCCGTTCGACTAAGAAACGCCAAAAAAACTACGTCTGTTCTGCAGGCTAGTTGCCGAGTAGTTAACGTTGGGGCGCAGTGGCTTGTTGTTTGATATATAGGTGAGAAAAACCACAATACAGAAAACCTGCTAACAGTGTATAAAGCATTCCACATCTCCTTGATCCTTGGACTAGAGGATAGGATGATACCATGATTTGGCTTCATTTAACACTGTCCAGAGTCAATGTTCAATAATCCGCCTATTTTACTACTCTACACGTACATTTTTAGTAGAATGGCAAGACAAGTGCAAAGCAATATTTCAATCAAGTTTTTATTACTTATGTTCCTGTAGATGTTTGATTCCAAACACAGCCAAGCCTCTGGGTGAGTTTTTTAATGTAATTCAAAGTTGGAACAAAGCTTCTCATGAAAAATAAGAAATAAAGGCTTCAATAATTTTAAATATTACACTTAACAGTGTAAAATTCCTGGCTTACATTTAGTGTAAACTAATCAATATAGAAAATAAAGAAACAATTTAGAAATGAGAAATACAAGAAACATAACCGAAAACTTACAGCTTAAAAGTGTCTTAGGTGTACAAGTCAAAACAGCTGATAGAAATGTTCAGCTGGGCTTTACCACCAGCGATGTTTGAGAGCTGTTTGACCTTTATGGGTCGTCTCCAGGCAACGATGCGCGAAAAATGTCGCTGCACCACATCATCACGATAAAACATCTTTGGTTACGCGTACTTACATTTGACAGGATATTGACGAAAGGGACTGGGACCAAACTCGTTTTGACCCGCACTCGATGCTGACGACTTGTTTACCCTTCAATGACGGAAGGGCAACGGGATGGAAAGTGGACTTTCTAACGAACGGTTTTCTTTGTCCGTTCTAGGTCTACACAAGCTACAGCTGAAGCAACATTTTCGTCCCCAAAACTGTTAACAAGACAATGTTCATGGATACAGGAAGAAGAGAACTGTGAGGAAAAACCCTCTTCCTTTAGTGGACTAGGTAAGTATAAACAGGCTGGCATGTGCAGCGTTATGCATGTTAAGTAAGAGCGTTTCGTTAGTGCGTCGTGTATAAGACCGCAATCAAAGCAAGTCGTTTCCACGCTGGAATTCACCGAGAACTGATTTTTTTAAGCCGTCCGTTGCAGAACCGTCTGTAGCGAAAGTCCTTAGCTTAACCGTTGGACGTACTTCTTAGACTGACAACGGCTATTCACGTGCTTGAGACAATCAGACCTCAGTCAATGAATAAACCAAGTCAGCTCCTCTAAAAAAATGGAACCCAATTTTTTTTCAGTTCAATAAAATTGGAGAGCATAACGACCTCTTAATAGTAACGCGTCGTTTTTTCCCTTTGTTTGCTTGTTTAGAGTCGTACACCCCTCAACTCGTACAACTTACAAGAAATAGACCGCCTCGCTCTAGAACACGCCGTCCAACGAAAAACGTTACAGCAAGCACAGACACGGGAGAAATTACGACGCAATTTCCTGGCTTAAAAGCTCCTGAGCCATCTGTTAAGGGCAAGAAGCCGCTTAGGAATATTAACACCAACTATCACTGATAGTATTAAACAATGGAACACGGGTTTTGTACCTTTTGCACACCAAAGACCACACGAATAAATGACACTTTCTTGCGATTTAATACCATGATATATATGAACACAATTACTTTCTTTCGGTTTAGTAAATAAAATAAATTTTTGAAAAGCCCTTACTGTTCGATTGTGCCTCATGAAAAAAAACAAACAAAGAAACAAGCCAAAAAAACCCAAGGAATAAAAACGGCTAAAAAACTCTTACAAAAGTACAGTTTTTTTTCCTAGATTGATCGCATCTAAGTTATGCTATGCACTACTGTTTCTAATGTTCAAAATAGTCTTATTTTTAGAGTAAACAAGTCTTATTACTACAATTCTACGATTAAGGCATTCTCCAGATATTTGAATCGTCAAATTCAATTTTAACCATACTCAATTTAACTTTTGCTAACAAACTCATTATGCTAATCGAACATATTAATTGCTCTTATGCATCATGATGAACTGAACACATCTTTAAGGAGTTCTGACACATCTTTCGCAGATTTTGTATCGTCTGAAAAAAAACAAGGAAATATCGTTTCAAGAAATCAGCAACTGTTCTTCGCAGCTATCGCCGGATTTATCAAGATAATGAACATTTCCAAAAGCTAACAAGTTGGTCTCCTGTCAGTTTTGCGCTTCATTTATTTCATTTGTATTTGCCGCGTCCTCGTGTATCTTAGTGGTTCGAAGAACGTCAACAAAAGTTGTCCTTTCTTATCCTTTTTGTTCTATCATTTATTTATTTTTCGGAGTGGTTTATGAAAATTACAAAGGAGTGGACTAGGTATTATGCATCAGTTTTTAAACCTGGACAAACAAACGAACCAAAAGTCAAGAAATAAAAATTAAGCTACCAGCAGCCCCTCCTTTCCAGTAAAGTTCGTCACCCGAGTCAAAACAAAAACCAAAAAAAAAAAAAACCAAAAAAACAAAAAAAAAATCAGTGAAAAAATATCGATTTCCGGCGCGCTGAGATTAATATTTATTTTGCACTAATTTTTTTACTCCTGTTACGAACTTTGCCGAAGACAAAAAAAAAAACGTTTATGAAGCAAGACCCACGGGGAACCCCAGAGATTGCACGATAATGGTAAGAAAAAGCAAGAGGAAGCAAAATAACGCGAAACTGCGCTTTAAAGAGCGTCAGAGCCAAGTGATAGAAGTGTAAAATTTTAACTCACCAGCTAGGGCCATATCCTGCTCCAGTCGAAGCTTGGTCTGCGCACATTGGAGAATCGCTTCCTCTACAGTGTTTTTAGCAATCAGCCGATACACTGTCACAGACCTGAGGGGAGAATGTTGTCGAATAAATCACATAGAACAAGGCAAGGGAATATTAAAGTAATGGTCAATCAGTTCAACAGGACATGACAACTCATCTGGTTCATTTCAGGTCCAACAGATTAATCTCACTCAAGCTTTATTCAAACTAAATTCCTTTCACATGCGGACCACACCGTATATCCGGAGTTGTTCTGAACTCAGATTGGATCAGAATTGTGTAAACACGGACAAAAAGCGTACTGTTAAATTCTCCGGCTTGGTTAGGTAAACATAACGTCACTTTATGAAGCGGTGAATCCCATTTGATTTTATGCCTTTATCAGCTCCTCTCTTCCGTGACACCTCTATCCAAGAGACACACCTTAATTCCCACTGAAAAAAGGTTCTTGTAACTCTGGCACCACACCTTTATTGCACGCCATCTTCGTTGAAGGGACAAATATGTTCAAGGGAAATTTTCTAGTCCAAATGTCGCCCCATGAATGAAGGGTCCAAGAAATTACTCTACCCGTTACCCCTACGTACCTGGTTTGACCCACCCGATGACACCGATCCTCTGCTTGTTTGTCGTTGTACGGATTAAAGTCAACGTCGTGCAAGATCACAACATTGGCGGCCGTCAGATTGATACCCAAGCCTCCTACAGATGAAGAAAGTATCTCTCATTATGTTAGAAGACATGGTTCTTTTGAAAAGAGGGCTTTGAAGAGGCTATATCTACGGCTTTGTAAACGAAGGTTAACTCTTACGAGTTAATTGGTTCATGACTACCAAAGGTTACGGTCGAATTTTGCAGCTATTCCTGGATGGTATGCTTGTCCGTCGCACAATCTTCGTCCTAATTTGCCTAGGAGTTTGCTTATAATGAGGGACCGTGAGTTAACTCCATCCTTTCTTTCCGTCCTATAATAAGGGACCGTGAGTTAACTCCATCCTTTCTCGCTAGAACCCATTCATGGACTTGGATGGCGAGAGGCACCGTAAGAGAGAAACGCGTCCTACCCAGGGACACGGCACGGTGACCCAGCCAGGTCCACAACCAGACCTCGCGCTAACCATTGGATCGCCATATCACCTTTACTCACAAAAGGAGATTGACAATGAAAGATTGAGACGCCTAAGTTAGAAAAGAAAATGAATTAGCCAAGAATGACAAACCTGCTTTGGTCGAGAGAAGAAAGACAAAGATGTCCGGATCACCATTGAACTCATCAATTAGGTTTTGCCTGTAAACGGAAAAGAGGGGTGCATTGTTTAAAATTCGGCTAAACTCGCAGGGAATGGCAACATTTTCAGACAAAAGATCTTATGAAATCAGTTAATTAAGTGATTATGTGACGGGTTGCAATCTATTTCAAATCAAGACATGGATCAATACAACATGCTGGAGCTCTGAGATTATTCATGGTGCCACTTAAGAATAATCCTACTGCTCCAAAATGAGATCTGGAAAAACGAACAAGAAAAAAGTAGGAGGCTGTATAGGCTACCTTTGCACTTTAGGGTGGTAAGGCGTCAGGTTTTTTTTTTTATCGCCCTTTGCGGCCGCTCTTTGGGCATCTCACTCAACGCTCCCTCCAAAAGAACCTTCTAGGGAAGCGGTGAGATCCAAAAAACCACCGTGAAGGAGACTACAAACTAAATGCTAAACAGAAGATTACCTATCTACTACAGCTGTCTTTCCATCCAGTCTCAAGTAACGATGACTTCTATTCGACAGATAGACTTCGATGATATCCATCATCATGGTGAATTGACTAAACAGCAACAAACGGCAATTCTAGAAACACCAAAAGAACAAAACGGAACTTAAGGAGTCAAGGTTTGCTTAAACTGAACCTTTAATAGTTGCGTAATTCTCTAACACTCTGTTCAGGCAGCGGAGCTTCGCCCCAAACCTCTCTCGGCTTAATCGCTTGTTCACGAAACCCGGAAGGCGGCCTACGAGCGAAGTAGAGTGTATCTTAAGATGCAGGCAAGCGAACGATCGCGACCTCGTAATAGATTTATGCCGCATTTACGGAAATCGGCAACATTTACTTCGGATTTTGCTTATAGATCCTTGTAGACCCAACGGAAAATATAATATCTCCTTTTCACACAAACATCCGACACACAGAAAGCAAATTATCAGTTACTACCGCTTGACGTTCGCGTAAGTTCGCTTGACGTTCGCGTAAGTTCTCTGACGACATTTCGCCCGCTCTTCGGAAAGTAATGAGTGCTACAAGAGGCTAAAAAGCGACAGTGGACACCGATAGACTGAAGTTAAAACTCTGATCACACACATATGTGATACGTTTGGATGACGTTCATGTTCGAATATTTTTACGAAGTACTTATGTCAGACAAATACAAACCTTTTGCTTTAATTCAGGTAATAGCGTATCTAAGTACTCAAATTTTCCTGATTTCATCATAATTTCTTTACTTAGACAATGATCTGCCAAACTCTGCATCGTTAAATAAAAATGAAAAAAAGCAAATAAACAACAAACCAAAACAAGAAAAATTATATAAAACAATACAACTGCAACTAGTTGATTAATATAGATTATTGTAGGGATGACCGTTGGCATTTCTTTTGCATACCGCTATAAGGAAAAATGTATGGCACTAGAGGTGAAAATTTCTGAAGTAAATAAAAATCTTGGAAGTTACACGGTTAAAGTTCTCAGTTTAGTTCACATAACGTGATCGAACAAACCATCGTCTTCACTATACAGTGGAACCTAGATTTGACGAACCTCTTAGTCTCTATATAACCAAGTCCTCGGTATAACGAACGATACTTCAGTTTCAACCCGGCTAAAGTTACAGTAAAATATATGCCACAGAACCTCGATATTACGAACCAATTTCCCCAGTCCCTTGGCCCTTCGTTAAATCGAGGTTCCACTGTAATTCTGTCGGTCACGCAAATCTTCGAGCGTGAAGCTGCAAAGAAACGCCCATGGCACGAAGAGTTTTTGTTTTTTTGTTTTTTTGTATTTGTTGTTGTTTTTTTTTTCCTACAAATATCAGGAGAAATGTTCTCTTGCATTGTACCTGTTCCTCTCGACAGAGACAATGCAGTTCAAAGTCTGACATTACTGTCATATCCTCGAAAACCAGATCCGGCTCACAATCGCGGTGCGCAGGGTCCTGGGAAATAGACAGAAATTTTTCTTATTTGTTTAAAACAACAATTACAGACAGCAGCATTAACCAACGCATCAATCATTATAACATCGATTTACAAACAAGCAAACTCTTAGAAGTTTTCGCCATCTTTTCAAGACGTTATCACCAGCATTCTTCATTCTTACAAATTTATTTTAAACTTCAAAAAACGAGCAGTAATGTAAATGCGACAAACTGCGTCTTCGTCAACGTCATCGTCATTAATCACTTCACAGATTGTTTTTTAAGTTTAATAAAAGTTCAAACCTTGCAGTATTTCTTAGCCATCTTCAGTAGTATGCTATCGTTGAAGCGATTACGTAGCAGCAGAGGATGATTGGCGGCCTTCCGAAGTAACATCAAAATATTGCTGTACTGTGAGCCGCCATCTGAAGAGAAGAAAGAGCACGTTAACCTTTTACATTCTAACATCAGTTTGTATATTCTCCCTACTGTTCTCTATATATTACCTCGGGTGCTGACATGGAGAATTTCTTTAACGATCAAGAGCTTTTTTAATCTTTAATCCTTTATTCTCGTGACCTCAACGTGTGATTCAGGGGTCAGTGGCGGATCTAGAGGAGGGGCCCAGGGTCCCCGCCACCCCCTTCCTTATTTTGGGTAAAAAATAAACGTGGAGGTAAGAAAAGCGGGCAGGTGTACACACACACACACAAACACGCACACGCACACACACAAAACTGTCCCCCTCCCCCTCCCCCTTAGCTCAACGTCTGGATCTGCCACTGGGGGGTGATATTGTGTAAGGAGAAAATAGACGCTGGTCTCTCTTAGCCGAAAACAAAAAATCGTTTACGTCAAAAATTAAATCCAGTATATGGAGTTTTCTTTATCATTATTTCATAACACGCCATAGCTTCGAATGTAACTCTATACTACTAATTCGCAACTTGAATTTAGTCGCATTCACCTGAAAGTCAAACAGTAATCGTTCAAAGGATATCAGACAAAGGAACAGGTCTTGGTTGATATCACGTGGTCTGATTTGATCAGGGGAAAAATTGGCAGCTACGATCTTGTGAGCCTTTTCGCTCCCAGAAGTTGGACAAGAAATCGATAGCGGGTCTGTCCACCGATTTTCTGTCTAGGGAAAGCTGTTTTTCATGGAGAAAACTATGCTATTCAGAGGATAGCGTAGTTTGCTTTGTTTGCAACTTTCCGTCGGATAACGATTTTATCCGGTGAATAACGATTTTACCCGGTTGATAACGATTTTATCCGGTTGATAACGATTTTATCCAGTTGATAGCGATTTTATCCGGTTGATGGCGCTACTCCGATTTCAATATCCAATCACAAACTAGACAAGCATTCACGACCGTTTTGAATGACCAAAGTTGTAGCTTATGAAGTACTATGGCGACGCAATTTTGACCATGAAAAATGTACCTACAACCTTACCCGACTCCTTAAATTGTCTTGAACAGTTCACAAAGTTGTAGTTGTACAACTGACGCTGTTCTTCGGTCAAGTCCACCTTGACTATGAGATCATGTTTGGCAGGAAGCTGTTGTAGAACCTGGAGAAGGATAATCAGTAAAAGTTATCAGAACATAATTTCTCCGCCAAATGACGATATAATTCGAGATGTTAGTTAAGGAGAATAAAAGACGCGATCAGAGGGACGTTTGATAAATAAGCAAGGATGAAAAGGTCGAGGCAGATATAAAGAAAAAAAATCTGACTCATGTCTCGATCCTCAAGTCTCCCCTACCCTCCCTCCCTCCCGCAATGGCAACTTGGACGACTTGCTCTCCGTCTTTCCAGAAACATTTCTATGAGCGTGTTACCCAAGGAAAGCGAACACACAGTTGAGGTGTTGACGACAGGGGACTAAGACAAGGCACGGGTGTCTCATTCCAATCTCTTCTTAGACTGATATTTTCTCTTCTCGTCTCATAACCTTTGTCTCGAACGGACGGACAGACAGACAGACAGACAGACAGAAAGTCAGACTGCATACAACTCAATGAGACACGAATCATGAAACGGGGCTCAGATTGAGAGCGTATTTAACCAAGATTAAATAGCGTAAAAGAAAAATAAAGGTTCACTTTTGAATCGTTTTTCATTTCAAGAATACTTACATCTTTCTTGAGCCTTCTCAGAACAAATGGTTTCATGATTCTCTTGGCCTGAGCTACTGTTGCTTTCTGGTAGTTACTACCTGGTTCACCATTCTATGAAAAACATAACTTGCACTTGGAAAACTGACAATAAGACCCCGATAAAACACTTCTGATTAATATCCCCCCTACCATTCTCTCTATAATTCCTAAAGTGTTTACTAAGAGAATTTGTTTAACAATCAATCAAGAACTACTTTAGTTTGTGATCATTTCCTTTATTCTAGTGACCTCAATGCTTGACTCAGGGGTAATATTGTAAGGAGAAAATAGACAGTGGTCGTACCATTTTGCTGTTGGAAAAGAGCATTTTGATCCCCTGAACACTGTCACCAAACATGCTCGGCATCACAAAACTTAGCAGGGACATCAGCTCTAACAAGTTGTTCTGTAGTGGTGTCCCTGTGAGGAGTAGCCGGCGACGGGCCTATACGCGATATAAGAAACAAAACGTAAAACATAAGAAGGTATATCTAATGGTACAAAATGTACCTGTGGTGTCCCTGTGAGAAGAAGCCCGCGACGGACCTTTAAGGGATAAAAGAAACAGAACGTAAGATGGTACATCTACCGGTACAATTGTACAAGCGTTTCGTATCTAAATTTCAACTTGCCATTCGTCGTAATCCGCGGCCAAAGGGAGAATTTTACGTGAAACGCGAAGAGCGTGACTAAATAATTGCTATTCGTGATTTCACCACTTATTCCGCACAATTTCAAGTCTCAACTTCTTCTGAGGTTCTGTTTATGAAGGTCAAAAAAGATTCTGAAAGCGTGAACACAACCGTGGCATGGGTTCGATCATTTAACTTATATCTACAAGTCTCTAAGTTGAAAACATTAGACGGCTTCTCTGGGTTGTGCTTTTTCGTGAACCTCCTAAGTAAACCCAGCCAACGAGCAGGAAAGAAAAGTAAGTTACTTGCTTCTCTTGTTTCCTTGGAGAACTAAACACGGGATCAAGAAATTTGAGCATGCTCGACCATTCACCTTTGAACGCAAACGCGGTTGATGCAACGTTTTACCAGACAGTAAACAGCATACCCACCTTCATTTTCATAAGTCCCTGGTATCTCTGTGACTGCATGTTTTTCAACATATGCCCCTCGTCCAGTACTACGTAATTACAATTGAGTTTTCTTAAAAAGGAACGATCATCTTTTGTACCAGTGGCGACTGTGTAGCTACAAACCAGCAAAAAAACTTTAATTTTAATCCAGTTTACATGGTTGTCTGTGTGTTCACCTGCCGGTTTTTCTTCCCTCTGCGTTTCTTTTTCTTACCCAAATAAACTTCCCCCAGAGCTGTCACTGCTAACAGATACTAATGGTTAACATTTATTTCAAGGAAATATCTCCCTCCTTTGTCTAATTTAAGAAGCTAACGCTTTAGAAGCGAGTAGCGGCGAAAACGCCAAGCACCGGTGATTTTAAGGAACACTTCTTTAAACTTACGTCGTTATGAAAATATCAGGTTTTCGTTCCGTTAAATCCACCTCGCATTGCAGCTGAAGCCTCTCTGCCTGACTTCCTAAAAGTAGCAATTATAGTAATGATATAAATTATTGTACATTGTACTAGCGCTATCGATTGTGGTAGTTTGAATGAAAACATGGCTAATGAGCCCCTTCATACGGGACTGCTAACCCGGTTGGCTCGGTCAAGTTAGGGACAATGGTTTTCGATAAGGTTTTTGCGGGGTTTCTGACTGTTTCCAATTTCTTCTGAAGGGTCATAAAAAGTGTCGGGAAATTTCCGATGGGTTTCCCAAAGTTCTCCGAAAGTTTCCGGGAGGTTTCCAAAGAGTCTTCGAAAGTTTCAAGAGGGTTTGCAAAGGGTCTCTGAAAGGTTCCGAAGGGTTCCGAAGGGTCTCCGAAAATGTCCGAGAGGTTTGTAAAGGGTCTCCGAAAGTTTCCGAAGGGTTTCGAGAGTTCCTACCAATGTTCCCGAAATGCTTTTAAAAGACTCTTGAAAGTTACCGTAGGGTTCCAAAGGGTTTCAAGAGTGTCTCCCACGGGTTTTATAAGGTTAAATTAACCAAAACAAAACTGAAAGTGAAATCCAAATAAGGAACTTTCCCTAGCTCTTACCATAATACAAAAAGAATTCTAATGATGGGCACCATTTCTTGGCTTCTCTGCACCAATTATCTGCGATCATTAAAAAAGGAAACAACCTAAAAGGTCTATTTTTACAAAACCACTTAACTTGAAGTCAGTTTGAATGCAAATCTTACTGTGCCTTAAACACATGAAAACACTTTTGGAGAAAACAATAAAAGGCAACAAAAAAAAACCAATAAAATACTTCTTACCAAGAGTTGATGCTGGTACAATAATCAGATGAGGGCCTTTTTCTCCAGATTCACACAAGTGTGCAAGAAAAGCTATGGCTTGAACTGTCTTGCCAAGACCCTGAAACATGTACAGTAAATGCTCATGTATCAAAAACATGACCCAGAAGCTTAGAGTATTGCTAATAATAAGCAGCAAACACATTATTTACCATTTCGTCAGCTAATATTCCATTGACTCCTTGTTCATGCATCAGAACCAGCCAATTAAGACTTGTCAACTGGTAGGGCTTAAGCTGAAGGCTAACAAAGGTGAAAATCTCAAATTTACATTAAAGGGATTAAGTTTTAAAAGAAAATATGGCACTGCTGTCTCTGACCAACAGCATTTTTAATTAACCACATGCTTAGTTTAATGGAAAGAAGTTGTTACAGATCCCAAGTCTCACTGATTAATATTCACACAAAAAATGGGACCAGAGAAGCAAGTCTAGATAATAAAAAATCCAATGTCAGTGAAGTTCAAATATATGATTTTCATAAAATTATATATATATATTCACAGTTATTTAATTACCTTTTATTTAATATTTTTGGTTGTGAAGTTATCACAGCTCCTCTTTTACTATTTGAAGAATCATTCTTGTCAACCTAAATACAAAATATTATTTCAAAATTATTATCTGTAGCACACAGAGCAAAACGTCTAAAAAAGCTATTTGAATGACAAGCTGAGATCAATTTTGATGCCAGTTTATTTCAATGATCATCATTTAGTCAATACCCAATTATTTACAACTTAACGGTGGCCAATTTACCATTTCAACTTTGTTGATATATTCAAATTATTTCGTTACCCCCACCGATGCAGCCCCAAACAGTTTCATTAGAAACTATCAGCCTTTATTATTTACAACTTACACTTAATCTTGAGTTCAACATGTCTTGGATTTTGTTGGAGATGTTCTCGCATTTGTTCATCAATTTCTCAACAGCTTTGCGCTCTTCGAGCAGACTTTGACAATTGTCTATCAACTAAAAGACCAATTAGCAATTATTCAGAATACTATAAACAACTGCTTGCTTTTCACAACAACAACAAAAAAAAATTAACAAAAATATTTCCTGTATGTACAATTTTCACAATATCAATTATTAATTGGACTACGTTGTGAACTCTGTAATTCCATGTAGAAACAAAATTAATGGCTGTCTTTGAGGTATTAAGTACATAATATTAAAAATAAAAATAAGAAAAATTACCTCTGAAGATAAGTTCTTAGCAGAGTCCAGTTTAGAAACCTAGGATAAAAATAACAGAGGAGAAAATAGCATTATAGGGGAGAGGGATGTCATTAAAAAAAATTTTATTTTATTTTCCAATGTGTCTAATTCCAAAAACTTTTAAGAATTTGAAACAAAACAATAACATGATTCTCAGTTGCATATTCTCAAGCACAATTACTCTGCAGTTAGGTTTTATTAAAAATTTCAGTCTTGTGGGACAAACTTTAGCAAAACATTTATTTCATTAAGGATAAAAATTGTCTCCAATAAGCTCCAGAACAATGTGTGGCAGTAGCTGTTTTCTTACAAGATCAGTCCAGGATTCAAATGGTCTCATTTTAATGATCTTTTCAGCCTTTTTGGAGGACAAACCAGGAACAGCTGCCAGCTCTTGAACGGTACAGTCATTGAAAAATGAAAGCATAGTAACCATCTCCTCTTTACTCAGGCTGTCATCTTCACTGTCATTCTCCATATCAATTTGACTGATATCTATGAAATCTGCAAATTTAATACACAAAGAAGATAAATTAAAGTTCACAAAGCAACCAGCTTGAATAAAAGACATTGTTCAAGATGTTACTCTGGTTTAAGGATTTCACGAATGTAACCAGGAAATTACAATTCGTCAGCAGATCCAGCATTTCCACACTCTTGTCTAGTACCTTCATCAGGGTGATCTAATTGTTGCAGCACAAGGTCCTTTTATATGCTCACTAATTTGCTGCCCTTTTTTTTAGGAGGTGAAAACAGGCATCAAGTGGTAGCTGCCATAATCACAATTTAAAGGAGCATGAGTGAGTTGATACATGTATGCCAAGCTTGCAAAGAAGCTTCTGGACTCTCTGACCTACATATCTGAGCCTTTGAAAGGCTGAGATAATTATTGATGGTACTGCCTTTCTTTAATTCATCAAAATCATTCACTTAATTGGTTGAACAGTTGAATAACCATCTGCAATGTTTTCATGTATTTGATTCTAAAAATCTATGTTTAGTAAAACTCAGATTTCTATGAATTTTCATCAATTACCATGTAGATGATCATATTTGTGACAATTTATGAGACCTTATGCAGCACACTAAAAATATAACCTGTTAAGAATGTGATAAATAACAACCTGTGTAACTCACCAGTAATAACAACATCACTATCATCAGCTTCATCACTTGATAAACAGACAACTTCAGGAATTTCTAAGAAATGAAATTGAAAAAGAAATGAAGCAATTAGTACAATACTATTAACTTTAATTATTATCCCATGAAAAAGCAGCGTTGCTATACCTAAATTGTACTGAGCTTGTACAGTGTGAAAAGTCCATGAACTGTCTATTTCTCTTGTGCTGTAAAAGTAACCTAACAGGTAATTTACAGACTTAATACAGTTTTAAAACACATTTGAGGTAAATAAGTAAACGATGCGGTAAACCAAAAAGGACTCTGGACCAAAAAGTGTAGAATTGAGCACTGATCTGGATTACAGATTCATTGATAAGTGTTCTTGGGAATATGGCAAACCATCACAAATGCCAGTGTCTCTTTCCAATCAAGAACACAAATTTGGTAACAGTGCATTGTACATGGAAGGGAAATCTTGTAAGAGATACCTAAACTGTGACAGAGAGGAGCTAGACCTTTATTCTTGTTACATCAAGACAAACTAGTTCAAGCTCAAATAATTGATGCAAGCTTCCTTGCTTCTGTGCAAGACCAAACACAGGAAGAAGCAAAGATGAATGTTTAGAACATCAGGCTTGCAAATTTTGGAATGGTGGGGTTGGGGTGGGGGGGGTGGGGGACAGCAAAGTTTTAGTCTTGTTTCAGCCACCAGATGACCCTTTTTGCCAATTCCTAGAATAAATCCTGATTATAGCACACATTTTGACCCTTTCACTCCTAAAGAGTGATTTCCCTCTCTGCCGGTCTGCCATGCAACTTTATTCTAATGCTGTGAATTTGGAGAATAACCCCCTTGTGATATCTTTCTTTACTCTCATCACTTGTCTGCTGGATACTGAATTGATATTGTAAGGAAAAATTATGTCTTGATCACTTGAAGTTAAAAGGTTAAGGTACCTGTATGAGCACATCTACAGTGTACATGCACATGTTCAACTTCTTAAAATGCTGACCTTTCTTTCCATAAGTCACATCCCTTCTTGTAGAATTTTTTCTGGAGTTGCAATTGGTGTCCAGACCTCCTAGTTCCTCTGATTTGCAGGATCTTTTCTTGTCTTTATTGTTATCTCCATCATCCTCATCTTCCATAAAGAAATGTCTCTTTCTTTTATTTCCTGCTTTAAAACTCACAATGTGGTCTTTATCTAGAAATTTCAAACAAACACTTTAACTAATTGATATCTTAATTCACATCAAATACTCCAAATTAGGGGAATGGTACTAGACAAAGTTTTATTGGGGTTGCACCAAAGCTAATGCTGGCTAGTGGTATTGTAAGTCACTACCTGCATGTTAGCATATAACTACTCTAGCTGCAGACAGAGACCAGGGTTTTCAAATTTAGCCAGCACCTGGCACAAGTCACCAGCTACTTCAAGCATTTGCACTGGGTACTTTTCACATTCCAACACCCTACCCCACAAGGAAACTGTCATCAAGATGAGATAATGCTCCACCTGCTTTACAATTTCCTCCTGCTACTTTCTTTAAATTTGAAAACCCTGAGAGACTGCTATATGCCTGGCTGGTTCTATCTAAATTTAGTAGAATTTCAGAGCTGAGCAAAGAGTTTCCAGCAATCTGATTGGTCGAGCGGTTCCTTTTATGATGCTATATAAACCGCTCTACGTGGTTTATATAAAATGTTAAAATGAAATGTTAATAAATGTTACTAATTAAAAGTGTTATGATTTTAGAAATTTCTCTGTTGTTCAGCTTTGATATTATACTAAAACAATTATTCGCCTCAGGTTCGGTGAATATTGACAAATAATCTCCTTGACTTCATCTTGGAGATTATTCAACGATATTCACCTCGCCTTTGGCAAATAATAAATGAGGTATTTGAATCTGCAATTAAAGAAAAAAATATCTGTTGGAGTATCACCTTTAATGAGTCAATGGTACCATTTTGTTAAGCAGTTGTGTAGGAAAATCACAACCTTTTTTCTTAGACATGTTTAACACTAACTCCCAGAGGTGATTAAAGTATAACTTCTCCCCATAATATCCACATGTGTTCCAGTAAAATGGTAAGAAGAATACTCAAACTCATGAGGTGGAAGTTGTTATCATGATCTAACACCAAATTCTCGTAGCATATTTAACAAGGAAAAGTGTAGTAGCTGGAGGGGAGAATCGATAATCACATCTTGGGAGTTGAAGGGTTCAAACAAAAGGACAAAAGATCTGATCTGTGCTCTGTGAAATATCTAGAGGAGTCAAAATAACCACACCAACCCCACTGCTGTAAATAACTGCCACGGGTTAATTTGAAAAACAATGAATGCAATGTACGATCAACGATTATTAGCTTAGTGTGTGGTTACATAACCTTACCATGATTAACAATTAATAACTATCACTAAAATCACCAGAAGTTGATCTATAATTGTGATTTCGTTACCTGGATTCACGTTTTCTTTGGAAGAATTTAAAGCGTCGACAACCTGTACCCGAGTTTCGCTTGGTTGAGTTTCCATCACGTCCAAAGGCTCTTGGTCAGCAACTATTGCAGCGGTAGAACTTGAATCGTCTGCACATGATCCGAGCCCGTTATCTTCTTCATTGCTATGACAGTTCGAAAGCGAGTCCTTTGATTTCCTTCCAGATCTCGAGCTATGCGCTGACTGCGAATTCAAAGTGAACCTATTCGTAGATGCACATGGTTGACTAGAAATGCCGGTGTGATCGCGCGCAGATGCCAACAACTTTCGTTGATAGGAGAACTTGTCCAAATTAAATTCTGAAAGTGACATGTTTTCTACATTCCATTGCTCCATTCCGCTATTCCATTGTTTGATTAGCTCAGACGCCAGTTGAACTTATTTCTTTTTGTACCTTGGAATAAATCATCGGAACCGCCAAACCACCAATTGAAATTAATATCTACGGACAAGGTTATATTGGAACAAGCCTAAGTTCCAGTTTACCGCGGCAAACTAAAATGGCGGGAAGTGATTAAAATAGAATTACGACGGGAACAAAGAAACGATACATTCAAATTACTTCGATACCCGAGTTGTTGTTGAATAATAGTCGTCGTCGTCGAGGCTATCCCTCGAAACGAGGATGATGGTCTTCAAATCAATTACCCTGCTTGTGGACTCTTAGATAACTAACGAGACCAATTTGAGCCTTGAATGTTCTTTGGCACTGAGGACAGGTGGTTCCAGGTGGCGGCGGGAGATCATTTCTAGCTTCCTGTTGTCTCTCCTTTCTCAAACGTCTCTTCTCCTCTAATGGTGCGCACCTACTTGTTTCAAAGAACGCTGCCCCATTCATGTGTGGTTTCACGCCAGAAATCTCTGTTTTTCGCATCAGTTTCCAAGGTTCTGATATCAATGTTGCACTTCTTCAGATTGGCTTTCAGAGTGTCTTTGTACCTCTTTTTCTGAACACCTCTCTTCCTCGATCCTTCTTTAAGTTGTGAATAGAAGACCGGTTTTGGAAGTCGATCTTTTGACATTCGGACAACATGGCCACTCCACCTGAGCTGACTCTTGATGATAAGAGCTTCTGTGAGGGTCATACAGGGTGGTGTCTGTCGCACGGTTCACGAAGAGAAAAAATGACGAATCACCGATCACGGATATTAAAATTTCATTTTCCCGAATCGCGAAAATAAAGAAGTAAGATACTCCTTTTAATAACCTTCTCTTAGGCTAGAAAGAATGTTAGAAGAACCAAAATCGTGAAAAGCTACGTAAAGGCTGCATATCGTAAATCACCTACTCAAATCACTCTCGTTGGAAACTCTGACCCTTCGTCCTCTTCGCGTTGTAACTGCCCGAAGAAAAACCAAATCGTCTAAAGAATCTTCCTCGTCATTGTCCGCAATAGAATATTCAGCGTCTGAGTCAGTGTCATACTCTTCCTCCTCTTCTACCTCTGCTGCCTCTACTACTTTATCGTCTTCGATGGCTTCATGCGATGTAGAATGCGTAACAGTCGTAACGGTTGTAACAGAAGTAACAGTCCCCTCTTGGATAGTGTTATGGCTGAATCAGACTTTATCTTTAGGATAGACAGATGCTCTGTACATATTTAACGGCAATGTTCAGGCCTTGAACATGGTGGTCTCTTGCCTCACACTTCTCTGCCGTGCAGCCTTCCCATTATTTGTCGCCCACTCAATCATGAGGTCTTTTTCCTGAATATTCAACTCCCTTATAGCTTTGAGATGCTCCAGCTTCGGAATGGCATTTAGTGGAGTGCTCTGGCGTAACACAGGATAATACGATTTGTCGTGCGAGAAGTAGTAGGCACTCCAGGGTACTACAAGCTTAATGCTTTCTTATACGGTATTTGCTAGATTCCGTGCGTACTGCAAAAGCGTAGGAAACTGGTCTTTGAAATGACCAACTGCGTGGAGGTTTCCAACCTGAACTGTAACACAGGAGTACAGATCAATGGCGAAGCCTAGATTCTCTTCTTTAACTAAAGCCTCCAGATCTTTCAGTCCATTTACGATCATGTTACTAACTGAACGCTTTGTCTGATCAGAAATAGTTCCTTGTGGACCGCTTGGTTTACCTGTGCTGGTATCGTTGACATTGTTGCTATGCGATAACGCTTTTTCTGTTATTGTTTCCAATTAACTGTCAAGTTCTTCCAGAAGCTTGATTGCTTGTGGTAGGGAACGTTTTGGTACAGTCTGATGTTTCACATGACCAGAAAAGGCTTTATAAAGGAGTCCAAGATGGCCTAGATACTTTACAATGCCTTTTATCGAGGTAACCAGCTTCACAGAGCCTGTTTGAGCATCGGTGATGAAAGTGTTCTTCTCGTGCTCCACACATATGCCCATAGCCTGCGCAAATGTTGCTTGGTCTCCCTTTCCATTTGAATTACCTTCTTTTTTTGTTACAGCAATGACTACGGCCTCCTCACTATAGATCTTCGTCTTTATTATTTAAGCGTTAACGTCCTTATACGGACCAAACAACGGGCCAGATTTTCCCCATCCCCTACCCCCCCTTGCCACCCACGCGATTAAAATAACTACAAAAATACCTATCGCCCCTCTCTTTCAAGCGACGGAAACTTTTACACCCACCTTTGTTCATCTCCTCGAGGTCTCTCCTCTGTCTTTCATTTCGCTCGAACTCTTAACCTCTCTTGTACAAGTTCTTCGTCCTCCAGCTTTGTTGCTGATCTCTTCCTTCCAGTTCTTCTGGGTTTGCTTATTGGCTTGCTAGTATCTACATTATCGGTGGCGCGGCAGACCTTGATAACAGGCGATGCTTTTTCAAAGATATTTTCTTTTCTCAGAACGGTTACTGGAAAGTAATATGGAAAAAGTATTTTCTAGGGTCATAAGCCACACATAAAGAGGTCATAAAAACCTTCGTGTCACTTTTAATTCTTTCCGCGCGCTTTGAGCGATGTCATCATTCTGACGTGGTCGCCTTAGTCTCTTGCTCTTCTTTTTAACCTTGATCAGTAACTTATTAACGACATTGACTTACAGAAAAGTCGGCACGTCTGTATCTTTCAGAACGGCCCTTGAATTATTTCATAAGAAGTAAACAAATTCCTACCTTATAATGAAGATGTATTTCCTGATAGTAGTGGTCTCTCCTCATCCCATTGCTCTTGTGTATTTATCGCAAAGGCCTTACTGCCATCTTTTCCCTTTTCCAGGCAACAGAATTTAAGTTCAACACAAGAACCGAGGCCACGTTTCTCGGCCTCTGCCTTTATTCCGGCCAATTCCGCGAACTTCTTAGTAAACACTGCCAAAGATGGATATTCGTCTGTAATCGGAAAGCGAACCCGTTCCTTTCCAAGAAAAGTAAGCGTATCCGCAGACTTCGGGTCCACGTAACTCGACCCCGTGTCGTGCTCGACGAACACTCGTCCCTGCCATGTCTTAGAAGTTCTGATGTTTCGGATCACTGTCCTTTGACGGGTCTTTGACCTCCCGTGACGTAGGAGAATAAGGAGTCGACATCCGATCCATGATAGGCATGCAAAGCACGTGAATTTGAACAATGGATTACTTTACGATTTTTACGATGGATTACATACATCTTATTAGACGTTTTGTTGTGTAGTATCGCTGAGTATTTTTACGAGTTGTGCCGTATTTTGAC